AGAGAGAGAGAGAGAGAGGGAGAGAGAGACACAGACAGAGAGAGAGACAGAGAGAGAGAGACAGAGAGAGAGAGAGAGAGAGGGAGAGAGAGACACAGACAGAGAGAGAGACAGAGAGAGAGAGACAGAAAGAGAGAGAGAGAGAGAGGGAGAGAGAGACACAGACAGAGAGAGAGAGAGACAGAGAGAGAGAGAGAGACATAGAGAGAGAGAGAGAGAGACAGACAGACAGACAGACAGACAGACAGACTGACAGACAGAGAAAGTGAGGGGGGGGGAGGGACGTCCATAGACATTCCCAGAAATCAAAAAGTAAATGAGAGAGTCATAAATTCTCTTCATTAACTCACCTAGAATATGGAGCGCCCAGTACCCCCTTCATTCACTCACCTAGTATATGGAGCGCCCAGTACCCCCTTCATTCACTCACCTAGAATATGGAGCGCCCAGTACCCCCTTCATTCACTCACCTAGAATATGGAGCGCCCAGTACAAGAGAAAGTCCACATCACTACCCCCTACATTCACTCACCTAGTAAAGTCCACATCACCACGCCCTTCATTAACTCACCTAGTATATGGAGCGCCCAGTACCCCCTTCATTAACTCACCTAGAATATGGAGCGCCCAGTACAAGAGAAAGTCCACATCGCTACCCCCTTCATTAACTCACCTAGAATATGTAGCGCCCAGTACAAGAGAAAGTCCACATCGCTGGCGGCGTTGGCCAGAGCACCCACAGTGAAGCGGGAACACATAAGAGCCAGGCCGTTAAAGGACAGAACGTTGGTCGCCTGCTGCTCGGACAGACCTTTCTCTAAGTTGAAACTTTGCAGGTGGATATTGAACGTCCCGCAGCCCGCGTTGGCGAGGAAAAGTTGGAGGCACAGAATCCAAAAAGAGACATTGAGAAAAAGCGGTGGGTATGGCGTCATCTCTCTTTCCGTTGGTTCAGCTAGACTAATATCGCTGTCTTTGTGGGCGGAGTTTATCGAAGAAGGGGCGGGGATTATGACGTCTTTTTTCAGCAGTTTGGAGAGTGATAGGTGGTGTGAAGCGGTGCGCGAGTGTGTTTTGGTGGTGTCAGAGTGTACGTCGTGAGGGGGAGGGGGAGGGGGCAGGGTCACGTCCAGATGGCGTGTGGAGGCAACCAATGAGAGAAGAGATGGGTTCCGAGACACGACCAGTAGGTGGAGACTGGGGCTGCGGTGGGAGGAGCTAAGTGTCCGAGTGGAGTCGCAAAGAAGAAGTTCCTTGTGGCTCCGCCCCTTTTTCTCCAAGCTTTTTGCATCCACCAACGGGCTGGTCGCAAGGGACGCGTGACTGCCAACTTTGCGAGATGAAGAAGAGCCGAGCTCAATATCCAAAAGTCTGTTATGTGGGTGGGGACTGGATACCCCGCCATTTTGAATCGTGTGCTGCAAAAGATCAGCGTCCAAGAACTTTGGGTCGGTTCTAGCGTCCACAGAGTTCTTCGTCTTTTTGAATAAAGAAGAAAATGTGAGATCAGATTCGGACAATATCAGTCTACTACTAGCTTCTTTATCTGAGGCTAAAGACATTTGTTGATCCTTGTCTTTTTGATTGATACCCCTATTCGCTTCTTCTTCATGGGAAGCCGAACAATTTATCATTCTATGATCAGGGTCAATAAAGAACTTTTTATCACTGTAGTTAGACTTGCGAGAATTCCCTCTCAGCTCCTGAAGACTTTGCCACTGCCGGGAATTTCCATTTTCTGCTATACATGTAACGTTTTTCTGTGTCAACGGTTTTTCACAGGATTTAACGCCCCCAGACACACTTTCTGACTGTTTTATCGGAACCCCCAGATCCACATCTGCTTCGGGGACGGTCGCTATTACCAAATTACTTCCAGTTCCAGCTTCCGAGGCTTGCAACTTCCACGGATCTTTTTTCCCCTCCACCGTTGTTATCTTCATCATATTATTTTCTCCGACCAGTTTCACGTTCTCCTCTTCGCAAGTGCACTCCGAAACGCACTCAGCACCCGAGACGTCAGTTCCTGCAGCACCCGTGACGTCAGTTCCTGCAGCAGTGACGGTGTAGCAGCACGTGATCCCCCCTCGACAAGGCTTGTGGCACGAGCGAGACTTCCTCTCGTGGATGGGGAACATGAGGGCCCCGGCCACACACACATGCAGGCCCGCCCCTCCCAGCACGACCAGAGCCTCTCGCCAGCTCAGCTTGTCGAACAGGAGCTGAGACGCCTGGGGGGAGGGGGGTTGAGGGAGGAGGGGTAGAGTGGGGGGAGGGGGAGACACAGACAATGATTTGT